TACCTTTCATTTGAGCTATGTCCGGTGTCGAATTTTGCCGTACGAAGCTGGCGAGACTTGCCGAAAGAATGTACGGTGGACACGTAAAAAAAAAATAATACAAACTTTGAACCCCTTCAATTCCCAGAAGGTCCTAACCCCCAAAAAATCATTTCAGTGGGTCCTGCTCTGATTCATTACCTTTCATTTGAGCTATGTCCGGTGTCGAACTTTGCCGTACGAAGCTGGCGAGACTTGCCGAAAGAATGTACGGTGGACACGTAAAAAAATAAATAATACAAACTTTGAACCCCTTCAATTCCCAGAAGGTCCTAACCCCCAAAAAATCATTTCAGTGGGTCCTGCTCTGATTCATTACCTTTCATTTGAGCTATGTCCGGTGTCGAATTTTGCCGTACGAAGCTGGCGAGACTTGCCGAAAGAATGTACGGTGGACACGTAAAAAAAAAATAATACAAACTTTGAACCCCTTCAATTCCCAGAAGGTCCTAACCCCCAAAAAATCATTTCAGTGGGTCCTGCTCTGATTCATTACCTTTCATTTGAGCTATGTCCGGTGTCGAACTTTGCCGTACGAAGCTGGCGAGACTTGCCGAAAGAATGTACGGTGGACACGTAAAAAAATAAATAATACAAACTTTGAACCCCTTCAATTCCCAGAAGGTCCTAACCCCCAAAAAATCATTTCAGTGGGTCCTGCTCTGATTCATTACCTTTCATTTGAGCTATGTCCGGTGTCGAATTTTGCCGTACGAAGCTGGCGAGACTTGCCGAAAGAATGTACGGTGGACACGTAAAAAAAAAATAATACAAACTTTGAACCCCTTCAATTCCCAGAAGGTCCTAACCCCCAAAAAATCATTTCAGTGGGTCCTGCTCTGATTCATTACCTTTCATTTGAGCTATGTCCGGTGTCGAACTTTGCCGTACGAAGCTGGCGAGACTTGCCGAAAGAATGTACGGTGGACACGTAAAAAAATAAATAATACAAACTTTGAACCCCTTCAATTCCCAGAAGGTCCTAACCCCCAAAAAATCATTTCAGTGGGTCCTGCTCTGATTCATTACCTTTCATTTGAGCTATGTCCGGTGTCGAATTTTGCCGTACGAAGCTGGCGAGACTTGCCGAAAGAATGTACGGTGGACACGTAAAAAAAAAATAATACAAACTTTGAACCCCTTCAATTCCCAGAAGGTCCTAACCCCCAAAAAATCATTTCAGTGGGTCCTGCTCTGATTCATTACCTTTCATTTGAGCTATGTCCGGTGTCGAACTTTGCCGTACGAAGCTGGCGAGACTTGCCGAAAGAATGTACGGTGGACACGTAAAAAAATAAATAATACAAACTTTGAACCCCTTCAATTCCCAGAAGGTCCTAACCCCCAAAAAATCATTTCAGTGGGTCCTGCTCTGATTCATTACCTTTCATTTGAGCTATGTCCGGTGTCGAATTTTGCCGTACGAAGCTGGCGAGACTTGCCGAAAGAATGTACGGTGGACACGTAAAAAAAAAATAATACAAACTTTGAACCCCTTCAATTCCCAGAAGGTCCTAACCCCCAAAAAATCATTTCAGTGGGTCCTGCTCTGATTCATTACCTTTCATTTGAGCTATGTCCGGTGTCGAACTTTGCCGTACGAAGCTGGCGAGACTTGCCGAAAGAATGTACGGTGGACACGTAAAAAAATAAATAATACAAACTTTGAACCCCTTCAATTCCCAGAAGGTCCTAACCCCCAAAAAATCATTTCAGTGGGTCCTGCTCTGATTCATTACCTTTCATTTGAGCTATGTCCGGTGTCGAATTTTGCCGTACGAAGCTGGCAAGACTTGCCGAAAGAATGTACGGTGGACACGTAAAAAAAAATAATACAAACTTTGAACCCCTTCAATTCCCAGAAGGTCCTAACCCCCAAAAAATCATTTCAGTGGGTCCTGCTCTGATTCATTACCTTTCATTTGAGCTATGTCCGGTGTCGAATTTTGCCGTACGAAGCTGGCGAGACTTGCCGAAAGAATGTACGGTGGACACGTAAAAAAAAAATAATACAAACTTTGAACCCCTTCAATTCCCAGAAGGTCCTAACCCCCAAAAAATCATTTCAGTGGGTCCTGCTCTGATTCATTACCTTTCATTTGAGCTATGTCCGGTGTCGAACTTTGCCGTACGAAGCTGGCGAGACTTGCCGAAAGAATGTACGGTGGACACGTAAAAAAATAAATAATACAAACTTTGAACCCCTTCAATTCCCAGAAGGTCCTAACCCCCAAAAAATCATTTCAGTGGGTCCTGCTCTGATTCATTACCTTTCATTTGAGCTATGTCCGGTGTCGAATTTTGCCGTACGAAGCTGGCGAGACTTGCCGAAAGAATGTACGGTGGACACGTAAAAAAAAAATAATACAAACTTTGAACCCCTTCAATTCCCAGAAGGTCCTAACCCCCAAAAAATCATTTCAGTGGGTTCTGCTCTGATTCATTACCTTTCATTTGAGCTATGTCCGGTGTCGAATTTTGCTGTACGAAGCTGGCGAGACTTGCCGAAAGAATGTACGGTGGACACGTAAAAAAAAAATAATACAAACTTTGAACCCCTTCAATTCCCAGAAGGTCCTAACCCCCAAAAAATCATTTCAGTGGGTCCTGCTCTGATTCATTACCTTTCATTTGAGCTATGTCCGGTGTCGAACTTTGCCGTACGAAGCTGGCGAGACTTGCCGAAAGAATGTACGGTGGACACGTAAAAAAATAAATAATACAAACTTTGAACCCCTTCAATTCCCAGAAGGTCCTAACCCCCAAAAAATCATTTCAGTGGATCCTGCTCTTATTCATTACCTTTCATTTGAGCTATGTCCGGTGTCGAATTTTGCCGTACGAAGCTGGCGAGACTTGCCGAAAGAATGTACGGTGGACACGTAAAAAAAAAATAATACAAACTTTGAACCCCTTCAATTCCCAGAAGGTCCTAACCCCCAAAAAATCATTTCAGTGGGTCCTGCTCTGATTCATTACCTTTCATTTGAGCTATGTCCGGTGTCGAATTTTGCCATACGAAGCTGGCGAGACTTGCCGAAAGAATGTATGGTGGACACGTAAAAAAAAAATAATACAAACTTTGAACCCCTTCAATTCCCAGAAGGTCCTAACCCCCAAACAATCATTTCAGTGGGTCCTGCTCTGATTCATTACCTTTCATTTGAGCTATGTCCGGTGTCGAACTTTGCCGTACGAAGCTGGCGAGACTTGCCGAAAGAATGTACGGTGGACACGTAAAAAAATAAATAATACAAACTTTGAACCCCTTCAATTCCCAGAAGGTCCTAACCCCCAAAAAATCATTTCAGTGGGTCCTGCTCTGATTCATTACCTTTCATTTGAGCTATGTCCGGTGTCGAATTTTGCCGTACGAAGCTGGCGAGACTTGCCGAAAGAATGTACGGTGGACACGTAAAAAAAAAATAAGACAAACTTTGAACCCCTTCAATTCCCAGAAGGTCCTAACCCCCAAAAAATCATTTCAGTGGGTCCTGCTCTGATTCATTACCTTTCATTTGAGCTATGTCCGGTGTCGAACTTTGCCGTACGAAGCTGGCGAGACTTGCCGAAAAAATGTACGGTGGACACGTAAAAAAATAAATAATACAAACTTTGAACCCCTTCAATTCCCAGAAGGTCCTAACCCCCAAAAAATCATTTCAGTGGGTCCTGCTCTGATTCATTACCTTTCATTTGAGCTATGTCCGGTGTCGAATTTTGCCGTACGAAGCTGGCGAGACTTGCCGAAAGAATGTACGGTGGACACGTAAAAAAATAAATAATACAAACTTTGAACCCCTTCAATTCCCAGAAGGTCCTAACCCCCAAAAAATCATTTCAGTGGGTCCTGCTCTGATTCATTACCTTTCATTTGAGCTATGTCCGGTGTCGAACTTTGCCGTACGAAGCTGGCGAAACTTGCCGAAAGAATGTACGGTGGACACGTAAAAAAATAAATAATACAAACTTTGAACCCCTTCAATTCCCAGAAGGTCCTAACCCCCAAAAAATCATTTCAGTGGGTCCTGCTTTGATTCATTACCTTTCATTTGAGCTATGTCCGGTGTCGAATTTTGCCGTACGAAGCTGGCGAGACTTGCCGAAAGAATGTACGGTGGACACGTAAAAAAAAAATAATACAAACTTTGAACCCCTTCAATTCCCAGAAGGTCCTAACCCCCAAAAAATCATTTCAGTGGGTCCTGCTCTGATTCATTACCTTTCATTTGAGCTATGTCCGGTGTCGAACTTTGCCGTACGAAGCTGGCGAGACTTGCCGAAAGAATGTACGGTGGACACGTAAAAAAATAAATAATACAAACTTTGAACCCCTTCAATTCCCAGAAGGTCCTAACCCCCAAAAAATCATTTCAGTGGGTCCTGCTCTGATTCATTACCTTTCATTTGAGCTATGTCCGGTGTCGAATTTTGCCGTACGAAGCTGGCGAGACTTGCCGAAAGAATGTACGGTGGACACGTAAAAAAAAAATAATACAAACTTTGAACCCCTTCAATTCCCAGAAGGTCCTAACCCCCAAAAAATCATTTCAGTGGGTCCTGCTCTGATTCATTACCTTTCATTTGAGCTATGTCCGGTGTCGAACTTTGCCGTACGAAGCTGGCGAGACTTGCCGAAAGAATGTACGGTGGACACGTAAAAAAATAAATAATACAAACTTTGAACCCCTTCAATTCCCAGGAGGTCCTAACCCCCAAAAAATCATTTCAGTGGGTCCTGCTCTGATTCATTACCTTTCATTTGAGCTATGTCCGGTGTCGAATTTTGCCGTACGAAGCTGGCGAGACTTGCCGAAAGAATGTACGGTGGACACGTAAAAAAAAAATAATACAAACTTTGAACCCCTTCAATTCCCAGAAGGTCCTAACCCCCAAAAAATCATTTCAGTGGGTCCTGCTCTGATTCATTACCTTTCATTTGAGCTATGTCCGGTGTCAGAGCAGGACCCACTGAAATGATTTTTTGGAGGTTAGGACCTTCTGGGAATTGAAGGGGTTCAAAGTTTGTCTTATTTTTTTTTTTTTACGTGTCCACCGTACATTCTTTCGGCAAGTCTCGCCAGCTTCGTACGGCAAAGTTCGACACCGGACATAGCTCAGATGAAAGGTAATGAATCAGAGCAGGACCCACTGAAATGATTTTTTGGGGGTTAGGACCTTCTGGGAATTTAAGGGGTTCAAAGTTTGTCTTATTTTTTTTTTTACGTGTCCACCGTACATTCTTTCGGCAAGTCTCGCCAGCTTCGTACGGCAAAGTTCGACACCGGACATAGCTCAAATGAAAGGTGATGAATCAGAGCAGGACCCACTGAAATGATTTTTTGGGGGTTAGGACCTTCTGGGAATTGAAGGGGTTCAAAGTTTGTCTTATTTTTTTTTTTTACGTGTCCACCGTACATTCTTTCGGCAAGTCTCGTCAGCTTCGTACGGCAAAGTTCGACACCGGACATAGCTCAAATGAAAGGTAATGAATCAGAGCAGGACCCACTGAAATGATTTTTTGGGGGTTAGAACCTTCTGGGAATTGAAGGGGTTCAAAGTTTGTCTTATTTTTTTTTTTTTACGTGTCCACCGTACATTCTTTCGGCAAGTCTCGCCAGCTTCGTACGGCAAAGTTCGACACCGGACATAGCTCAAATGAAATGTAATGAATCAGAGCAGGACCCACTGAAATGATTTTTTGGGGGTTAGGACCTTCTAGGAATTGAAGGGGTTCAAAGTTTGTCTTATTTTTTTTTTTTACGTATCCACCGTACATTCTTTCGGCAAGTCTCGTCAGCTTCGTACGGCAAAGTTCGACACCGGACATAGCTCAAATGAAAGGTAATGAATCAGAGCAGGACCCACTGAAATGATTTTTTGGGGGTTAGAACCTTCTGGGAATTGAAGGGGTTCAAAGTTTGTCTTATTTTTTTTTTTTACGTGTCCACCGTACATTCTTTCGGCAAGTCTCGCCAGCTTCGTACGGCAAAGTTCGACACCGGACATAGCTCAAATGAAAGGTAATGAATCAGAGCAGGACCCACTGAAATGATTTTTTGGGGGTTAGGACCTTCTGGGAATTGAAGGGGTTCAAAGTTTGTCTTATTTTTTTTTTTTTACGTGTCCACCGTACATTCTTTCGGCAAGTCTCGCCAGCTTCGTACCGCCAAATTCGACACCGGACATAGCTCAAATGAAAGGTAATGAATCAGAGCAGGACCCACTGAAATAATTTTTTGGGGGTTAGGACCTTCTGGGAATTGAAGGGGTTCAAAGTTTGTATTATTTTTTTTTTACGTGTCCACCGTACATTCTTTCGGCAAGTCTCGTCAGCTTCGTACGGCAAAGTTCGACACCGGACATAGCTCAAATGAAAGGTAATGAATCAGAGCAGGACCCACTGAAATGATTTTTTGGGGGTTAGGACCTTCTGGGAATTGAAGGGGTTCAAAGTTTGTCTTTTTTTTTTTTTTTACGTGTCCACCGTACATTCTTTCGGCAAGTCTCGTCAGCTTCGTACGGCAAAGTTCGACACCGGACATATCTCAAATGAAAGGTAATGAATCAGAGCAGGACCCACTGAAATGATTTTTTGGGGGTTAGGACCTTCTGGGAATTGAAGGGGTTCAAAGTTTATCTTGTTTTTTTTTTACGTGTCCACCGTACATTCTTTCGGCAAGTCTCGCCAGCTTCGTACGGCAAAGTTCGACACCGGACATAGCTCAAATGAAAGGTAATGAATCAGAGCAGGACCCACTGAAATGATTTTTTGGGGGTTAGGACCTTCTGGGAATTGAAGGGGTTCAAAGTTTGTCTTATTTTTTTTTTTTACGTGTCCACCGTACATTCTTTTGGCAAGTCTCGTCAGCTTCGTATGGCAAAGTTCGACACCGGACATAGCTCAAATGAAAGGTAATGAATCAGAGCAGGACCCACTGAAATGATTTTTTTGGGGTTAGGACCTTCTGGGAATTGAAGGGGTTCAAAGTTTGTCTTTTTTTTTTTTTTACGTGTCCACCGTACATTCTTTCGGCAAGTCTCGCCAGCTTCGTACGGCAAAGTTCGACACCGGACATAGCTCAAATGAAAGGTAATGAATCAGAGCAGGACCCACTGAAATGATTTTTTGGGGGTTAGGACCTTCTGGGAATTGAAGGGGTTCAAAGTTTGTCTTATTTTTTTTTTTTACGTGTCCACCGTACATTCTTTCGGCAAGTCTCGTCAGCTTCGTACGGCAAAGTTCGACACCGGACATAGCTCAAATGAAAGGTAATGAATCAGAGCAGGACCCACTGAAATGATTTTTTGGGGGTTAGGACCTTCTGGGAATTGAAGGGGTTCAAAGTTGACATTCAAAGTGTACGGTCTTTTTTTAATCAAAAAAATCTTTACATTTCTTTTAAGTAAGGCTGCATGCCGTACAAAATAGTGCACGTATACTTTCAATTCAAAATATAGTTTGTGGGCATGAAATGTACTCTTACAGTTTGTTATTTTGTATGTTTTCAATTTCAGTATAGGGAATAGACATTAAAAGTTCCTTTTCTAGAAAATAAAGGATATACGAGGATGCCGAGTGTATGGAAAGCCAGTATATAGTTATTCTTTCGCACATAATATTTTTCTTATTTCGTTTATTTGAAAGCTGAAACATTGTACAAAGGAACAGGTTTAAGTGAACTCACATTAAATAGTTATTCTATGCTCCGCCTACGACGGTAAAGCCCATAGTATTATCTGGTTTTTGTGTTCGTTCGTTAATTCGTTTGTCCGTTTGTCCGTCCATTCATACTGCATTAAGATGACGTTAGTATTGAATCTAGTCTAAGATGACGTTGTAGTCTTGTCAACTTGAAACTAGGTACACATGTTCATTAAAATATGTACTTTTTAAATTATTTACGGTTCACTGAATATTGAAAACGATTGTGCGAGCAAATCATCATAAACAAACACTCTTTTTTTTTATTATTCAAATTCTAAAAACTCTTTAGCTTTTTATTCTGATTTCTAAACCGCAAAGTACTATTGTATAACCATTATGTGCTTGGGGGATATACGCTCCGTTTTTAATATTTTGTTTACAATAATTGATTTATCTTTGCGATTTCGGATTAGAGTTTGGAAAACAGAGAAAACGTAAAGAAGACGTCAAAATATGGATTACTTTATTTCCCAACTAGTCCCTCTCCCGATAGAATAAACTCCAGAGAGGGGCGCACCTTTATTTATATAAATACATATATGATAACATATAGTATGTGTTCGAATGTAGGGGAATAAAAATAGTTCGTTAACAAAGAATGTTCCTTAGCTTTTTGTGTGTTTTTCGCTGTGCATTTACTGATTTTGTGTCATGGAGGGATACCCTATATCCTTTGTTTTTCTATTGTATTAAATTGTTTTGACTTTTACGATTTTCTGGCACGTTATATTTTACTCATTGATATTGATGCAGACATTTAGCAACCAAACTAGTTAGTGCATTCAGCTACAGACGTCATTCGTATTGTAGTGTCCCTTCTCCCTTAATTTGATGGACACTTCTGATCATTTAAACGTTAAAAAACAATATATATACCGTACTGGTAGATAGATTTTCTTTTTAACAGAACGTTGTTTCATAATGTGGTGTTGTGGTTTTTTCATATACCACATAATGATTCTTTATAGACAAGTTGATTCTCATTGTGTTCTTTAGTGGTCGCTAGAATTGGTCGCTAGCTTGATTGGTCGCTAGAATTGGTCGCTAGCTTGAGTCTGGTCATTTCTTTACAGCTCAGGAGGACTTTCTTAACATACTTTTGTTTAATCTTCAGTTACTGATTCTTTGATAACAGTTTCTGGACAGTTAGTTGAGTGATTGCTATTAATCCATCCTGTATACATTAAATCAACATCTGTGATATAGTTTCAACATCTGTGATATACCGTAGTTTCAACATTTGTGATATATAGTTCTAACAACTGTGATATATATATTTATTCTGATTGTAAATAGTTCATTTATGTTGAAGATATCTATTTCTAATTATGTTTATAAAAAATAATTGAATTTTAATGATTAATGTTTTTAATTTTAACTTATTGTTCATATTGTTAATCCAATATATAAAAAAAGGCACATGTACATTTATCTTAAGTTATTAAATCATAATTTTTTTTTAAATATACTGTTATATTATTTTATTGAAAATGCTGTTTGATATAGACAGCTATAGATTATAAGATATAGCTATTACAATATGTAGATGTTTAACTAGAACATAAGAATTTTGCAAGCTAAAAGAAAAGGAAGGTTGAGATGAGGAACAGCTTTAACTTTTGATCAATGCACTTAGGGACTAAATATAAAAATGAAAAAACGTATTAAGGCATTTGGATTAGAAGTGCATCAATTCTGAAAGGTGTCAATGTTCAAAATTTGAGAAAACACCCTTGGAGAAAATGTTCACAATGGCAATATTATTAAAATTAGTTCTCCGCACTTGCTACTCGTTGTTTATTAGTCGCGCGTGGCAGCCCACTATATAATTAGATTGCCATTGTGAAAATTGTCACAATGGAAAACCTATTTCACCCTTTCTCTCATTTTTTGATCTGGTATCATAATTTGTAATGTTTAAACATGAAACAATTCATGTGGTATATATATACATGTATATGAATGAAAAGAAAATACACTGATTGTAAAATGCTATAAATATAGGATTCGTTCTGTATAGTTCTTTGCGTAAATAACATTTCCAAACTCAGCTATCAGACTCAAAAACACAACAGACAATGTGTTATTATTTCTGTTTATGTATCCAGATAATAAAAAATAATGCTTATATATTGTATTGAGATACATTGCTGATATAAATATTTATATTTCAGGGATAATGTATTTCATAGAGTTGGCGGGAATTAATTAAAACACAAAAATTTAATCCATTTTTGTTCTCCTGCATATCGGGTCGTCGGATCAACAAAAAAACCGTGTCTAATTTATAAAAAAGTGAAAATACAGTTTATTTACGTCCAATTTCGACCGGACGTGACTGCGTATTTATACATCCCGAACAGTAAAAACAACCACAAATAGTCTATTCAAACGATAAAACTTTGGGCAAATTGAAATAAAGGGTAGTTACTTATCTGTGATGTTATAATTCAGCTATATTTTCAGTTTAATCCATTAAAATAATGTCATACGATTAAGACCTCCGAAAGTTAAAATATAGCGTAAATTTGCTCTTATCTCGTAGGTGGTAATGGTTTGTTGCTTAACGTCCAGAGACAAATATTTCATGCATGTTCAGTACGAAAACAAATTAACAATTTATACAACAGTTAGGTCCTGTAAAAGAGGCCGTCCAGAAAATGAGGGTACATAGGATATGGTCAGAAAATATCGCCTTGCGCATGCGAACTTCGGCCCCTCAAAGTCCGCACTGGTTATCTAACGTCCCCATTCTGTTCATACGTGGCTGCATTATTGTAAATCCCGCACAGCCTAAACGGACACCCAACTTTGGCCAGGGTTTCATTGCCGATCTGAAGAAGACCAAGTTACCATATTTTCATTTCCCAGTCACTTTTGGGGTATTTATATAATGATGGCGTCAAAACTAACTTCGGACACAACATCGATGGTTCTCTCGAAGATAACTTATCCCCTTCAAATATGAAGAATTCAATGAGGGCACTGTTCAATCTGGCAAAGATCACGTGTCTTGTTTCCTATACAGTGGAAAAACTGTTGTTTAAGGATGTTTGCGTGAACACATATTTTTAGTATATTTATCGTAATTTCAATTATCAACTTGATGCCTATAACTGAGGTCGCTTAGATATTCCAATTGATTGATGACCGCTTAATGTCTAGTGGTAAATATTTTTTTATGGATGTTATGGACGAGAACAAATTTACATTAAGGTATGTGTAGCAATAAAGGCCATCTGGGATGAAGGTCGAGGAAAAGCGGAATGCCACTGTAAAAATGAAGGTATACTAGACAAGGACAGAAAATTTGACTTGCAACAGGCCACCTACGGACCCCTCAAAGTCGGACGCACAACTTCGGAAAGGGTTTAACTGCCGACCGGAAGAAGACCAAGTGACAATATTTCTATTCCAAATCACACTTGGCGGTTCTCAATAGTTCGACACCGTTGACAT